TGCTATTGTAAACAGTGCCACTAGGAACATACGTGTGTACGTGTCTTTATAATAAAACAGTTTATAATCCTTTGGGTATATACCCAGTAATGGGATTGCTGGGTCAAATGGAATTTCTATTTCTAGATCCTTGAGGAAGCAACATACTGTCTTCCACAATGGTTGAACTAGTTTATACTCCCACCAACAGTGTAAAAGTGTTCCTATTTCTCCACATCCTATCCAGCATCTGTCTCCAGATTTTTTAATGATTGCCATTCTAACTGGCTTGAGGTGGTATCTCAATGTGGTTTTGGTTGGCATTTCTCTAATGACCACGGATGATGAGCATTTTTTCATATGTTTATGGGCCTCATATATGTCTTCTTTTGAAAAGTGTCTGTTCATATCCTTCGCCCACATTTGGATGGGTTTGTTGGTTTTTTTCTTGTAAATCTGTTTTAGTTCTTTGTAGATTCTGGTTATGAGACCTTTGTAAGATGGGTAGATTGCAAAACTTTTTTCCCATTCTGTTGATTGCTGGTTCACTCTAATGATTGTTTCTTTTGCTGTGCAGAAGCTCTGCAGTTTAATTAGATCCCATTTTTTCTATTTTGGCTTTTGCTGCCAATGCTTCTGGTGTTTTAGTCATGAAGTCCCTGCCTATGCCTATGTCCTGAATGGTTTTGCCTAGATTTTCTTCTAGGGTTTTTATGGTGTTAGGTCTTATGTTTAAGTCTTTAATCCATCTGGAGGTACTTTTAGTGTAAGGTGTCAGGAAGGGGTCCAGTTTCTTCTTTCCGCACACTGCTAGCCAGTTTTCCCAACACTATTTATTAAACAGGAAATCCTTTCCCCATTGCTTGTTTCTGTCAGGCTTGTCAAAGATCAGATGGTTGTAGATGTGTGATGTTGCCTCTGAGGCCTCTGTTCTGTTCCATTGGTCTATATCTCTGTTTTGGTACCAGTACCATGTTGTTTTGATTACTGTAGCCTTGTAGTATAGTTTGAAATCAGGCAGCATGATGCCTCTGGCTTTGTTCTTTTTGCTTAGGATTTTCTTGGGTATGAGGGCTCTCTTTTGGTTCCATATGAATTTTAAGGTGGTTTTTTCCAGTTCTGTGAAGAAGGTCATTGGTAGCTTGATGGGGATAGCATTGAATCTATAGATAACTTTGGGCAGTATGGCCATTTTCATGATATTGATTCTTCCTAACCATGAGCATGGAATGTTTCTCCATCTGTTTGTGTCCTCTCCTATTTCCTTGAGCAGTGGTCTGTAGTTCTCCTTGAAGAGGTCCTTTACATCCTTTGATAGTTGTATTCCTAAGTATTTTATTCTCTTTGTAGCAATTGTGAATGGGAGTTTGCTCATGATTTGGCTCTCTGTTAGTTTATTATTGGTGTATAGAAATGTGTGATTTCTGCACATTGATTTTGTATCCTGAGACTTTGCTGAAGTTGCTTATCAGTTTCAGGAGATTTTGGTCTGAGATGATAGGGTTTTCTAAATATACAATCATGTCATCTGCAAATAGGGACAATTTGACTTCCTCCTTTCCTAATTGAATACTTTTAATCTTTTTTTTCTTGCCTAATTACTCTGGCTAGAACTTCCAATACAATATTGAATAGGAGTAGTGAGAGAGGGCATCCTTGTCTGGTGCCGGATTTCAAAGGGAATGCTTCCAGTTTTTGCCCATTCAGTATGATATTGGCAGTAAGTTTGTCATAAATACCTTTTATTATTTTGAGATATGTTCCTTCAATGCCTAGTTTATTGAGAGTTTTTAGCATAAAGTGCTGTTGAATTTTGTTGAAGGCCTTCTCTGCATCTGTTGAGATAATCGTGTGGTTTTTGTCTTTAGTTCTGTTTATGTGGTGAATTACATTTATAGACTTGTGTATATTGAACGAGCCTTGCATTCCTGGGATGAAGTCTACTTGATCGTGATGGACAAGCTTTTTGATGTGCTGTTGCAATCAGTTTGTCAGTATTTTATTGAAGATTTTTGCATCTATGTTCATCATGGATATTGGTCTGAAGTTTTTGTTGTTGTTGTTGAGTCTCTGCTGAGTTTTGGTATCAGAATGATGTTGGTCTCATAAAATGATTTGGGAAAGATTCTGTCTTTTTGTATTGTTTGGAATAGTTTCAGAAGGAATGGTACCAGCTCCTCTTTGTGCATCTGGTAGAATTCAACTCTGTATCTGTCTGGATCTGGACTTTTTTTGGTTGGTAGGCTATTAATTGCTGCCTCAACTTCAGCCCTTTTTACTGGTCTGTTCAAAGTTTCAACTTCTTCCTGGTTTAGGCTTGGGAGGGTGCAAGTGTCCAGGAATTTATCCATTCCTTCTAGGTTTACTGGTTTATGTGCATAGAGTTGTTTGTAGTAACCTCTGATGGTAGTTTGTATTTCTGTGGAATCGGTAGTGATATCCCTTTTATTGTCTTTTATTGCATCTATTTGATTCTTCTCTCTTTTCTTTTTTATTAATCTGGCTAGTGATCTGTCTATTTTTAAAGACACAACATATCAGAATATTGGGCACACATTTAAAGCAGTGTCTAGAGGAAAATTTATAGCAATAAATGGCCACATGAGGAGCAAAAAGTCTAAAATCAATACCCTATCATCAAAATTGAAAGAGCTAGAGGGGCAAGATCAAAAAAACTCAAAAGCTAGCAGAAGATAAGAAATAACTAAGATCAGAGCAGAACCAAAGGAGACAGAGACACAAAAAAACCCTTCAAAAAATCAATAAATTCAGGAGCTAGTGTTTTGAAAAGATCAACGAAATAGACCTCTTGCCAGATTAATAAATTGTTTTTAAGTAAAGTTCTCAGTAATTTTTCCAAACTTTTTTCCCCATTGTCCTCAGTAAGAAATACATCTTACTTTGCAACTAGTACATATACATTCACATAATAAGAACATGAAATTTCATGAAACAATTCTTATCTTTATTACCTATGATCGGGTAAAAGCAATGTATAATGTAAATATTTATGTTTTATTAATCTGTAAACACAAAATGGAAACAAATCAAAAACAAACAATACCAAACTAAAAATTAGGAAATACTTTATTTAATGCTGCAGCTATGTGTTTTTGTTACTTTAATTGGCTCAAGATTGAAAATCCTCATTTACGCAAATAAGCTCTTGAGAATGTTAACAGTGCCAGCATATTCTGATGTTTAACTTCTTTATGCTTTATTCAAATTTCTTTTTTAAACTGCTGATCATGACTCACTAATGTCATAACTGACTATTGTCCCCACAGTTTGGAAAACAGTAAGCCAGAAATATTGTTAAATTGTCTACTACTAAGATGAGCTAAGATAAGGCAAATGTATTGCAAGTATCTACAATAGATCCTTATTTGAGCTCAGACATCTGTAATTTTTTTTTTTTTTGAGACAGTCTTACTCTGTCACCTAGGCTGGAGTGCTGTAGCATGATCTCAGCTCACTGCAACCTCTGCCTCTCAGGTTCAATCAATTCTTTGCCTCAAACTCCCCAGTAGCTGGGATTACAGGCACTCAACACCATGCCAGGCTAACATTTGTATTTTTAGTAGAGACAGAGTTTCACCATCTTTGCCAGGCTGGTCTTAAACTCCTGACCTTGTGATCTACCTGCCTTGGCCTCCCAAAGTGCTGGGATTACAGGTGTGAGCCACCGTGCCCACCACATCTGTCGTTTTTGAAGCTCTCTAGAGGGGAATTCCAGTTTCTCATTCACTACTGTGGATAATTTGTAACAATTCTCTTTATGTGGAGAGTCATCTGTATTTCACTGTGGACTGCCATTCAAATTCATTTCTTCTTGATAATGAACAGGTGCTCTAAAGCTTCTCTTTGCCTAGGTCTATCCTTCTCTCTGCCTTTCCCCACTTATCCACAGGAAGCCACACTGGTCCACCCAATGGGCCGTGTCTGACCCATGCTCTTTTCCTTTCTTGCAGTTTTCCATGTTGCTGTTCTTCTGGGAGACTCTCATCTCCTATCTGGTATTCTAAATTCTGCACATTCTTCAAGTAGCAGCATAAGCTCACCCACCATCGGGCCGTGCTGATCATGCTGCCCCATATCTTTTCTTCCTTTTCTGATCACCTATAGGCCTGGAAAGGTTTTTATTCCATATTTATTGATACAGAAAAATATTGAGGATCCTGTTGGAAGAGCAGTGTATTTATAAAATAGCATGTACATTGAAGAGCTAAAGATAAAGATAAAGCTATTCATTCAGAAATTAACTAGGTGTATTTGGGTAATTTTATTTTGGTTTTATTTTCCCAGTTTATGTTTTCTTATTAACACATAGTACACAATAAAAATAATAAAAGGAAAGTCTTAACTTTTGAGCTAGCTGTGAATGTCTTCTATTATTTGAGTGCTCCCCAAATTTAACACAAATACATATGGGCTTAATTGTTCTCTTCTCATGTGTTCAGCTTCCACTTCCAAATGTATTGCAATTTTCTTGAAAATCCAGATGCTACTTTTCTGTTTTTTCTTAATTTTCATTTTCCAATTTTGATATAACAGCAAGTTATTGATAAACTTGCTCTTGATAACATCTGAATGTAGTCAAGTAAAAGCTTATACTGTATATACCTAGAAGATCTTTGTGTTATATTTTACTTCCTTCAGACCACTGAACACTCTGTAAATATTGCCTCTCAGATTAAAGCATAACATCAGAGAAAAGGAGAGTTCTTTGTTTTTGAAACTGATAATATATAGTAGCTATGCAAACTATACATGTGAGTTTTTTTTGCTTACACTATGTACTCCACAATTTGGTTTTCTTAAGAAAAAGATACAGGAAGGAAAATGAGAGAAGAAGTGAAAGTGAAAGAGAGGTAAGAAAGACAATGGAAAAAAAGAAAATGGTAAAGAGAAAGGAGAGATACAAGGGAAGAGAAAAGGGAGAGAGGAAGAAGAAAAAGGAAAAATGGATAGTTAAGCAACGGGAATGAAAATGGGGGAATTAAATTGTATTTTTTTTTCAGTCTCTATAGAGACCGTCAAAAATTGCCAATGCCAACTATATTTCAAGTCGTCATGGCAGGGTATTGGGAAAAGTTTTCATTTAGCAATAATTGCGCCTCTGATAAACCTCATTGCCTATAACATTGTCACTTCGCAAAGCTAATTAAGTAGTATTTTTAAGGGGAAACAATAAATATTAGACTGAAGCTACCACCAGAAAAAAATAGAATAAGACCCATAGTTATTTACTTGTTTATTTATTTATTTTGCTTTTCAGTCTTTCAAATATTTAAAGATAGTTACTTTGGTCCCCAAATTCTTTTTTCTTTTCTGCTTAAAGAAGTCAAAATGAAATATTCCTTAGTTCTCTAAATATTGAGTTGATATACAAGATAAAGATCTGAGAGAAAAGAAAAAGAGTCTTTAAATAATATTTATTTTATCTATAATTTTCCTTTTGCTGACTCTAATCTAGGACTTTACAGGCATTTTGTAAATCCTCACAGCAATGTTATGAGGTTTTATTTGTACCCTTATTTTACATAGAAGAAGACGCCTGTTTTAAGAAGATAAGACTTCATCCACAGCTGGGAAGTGGCAGAGCCAGATTCCAAAGCCAGGTCTACTAACTATACTTCCTCTCCAAATTGTTGCCCTTTCTGGAGCAACAACTCAATTGTTCTCTTTTAATCATCTGTTTTTCTAGGTCTCCCAGAGCTCTCTAGATGAGACCACATTTATTTATTATGAATTTATTTTGCAGTTGACTTAGAGAAAAAAATGTGATTAAAAACACCTGTCTGGCATAACTTCAATACCAGGCTGGGCCTAGCCCCACCCCAAGGCAATGAATCTGGACTGGTTTGCCTGCTCAGACCCAGAGACTCCCTGTGAGGTCTGACCCCACCCTGGAGATATAGGATGGCTGTGGCACAAAATATGTCCCCGGAGCCTGGGAAACTATATCAAGGCAATTGCTGAACTGTGGAAACACTGCCATTAATTTGGGAGATAATGGCTGTGAGAAAAGGAGGCTCAACAGGGACCCTGATGGGTCTCAAGGATTAGGAGACATCCCTCAAGCATTTTGCTCCAGCCAAACCAGCTCCTCACAGCAGGTGGGGAAGAGGGTGTGGTCTCGGCTGGTGCCTAGCTACCTCTCCCAAACCCGTTGGCCTTCGGGAAGGGATTATGGTTCCCGTGCAGTGTGTGCCTCTTCTGAAGTAGGCAGTAGTCAGCCTGTCACTGCTGGAGTCTCTATGACCACCAATTTCTGTTACCAGCTCTGTTTTTCCTGGGATATATCAGATATCACATCTTACATTTTATATTATGTCAGTTTAATGTAGGCAAGATGATCCCATGTGCAAATAGCGCATCCAAAGGAAATCTTAAAATAAACAATGGCACATACCTCACTCCTTGAGTGGGTTAGGCCAAATGCTGTGCATCAGGAGGCTCCTTGACACAGAGCATTTATGTGGAAGCTTCACCAAGGAGCCACCTAAACATAGGGTTTCCTCTTTGTGGGTGTGCCATGAGCTGATTGGATCGGTAGCCAAAAGTATAATTAGGTGCTCTGGGTTACTAAGCTAGTTTTTCTGTTTATGCCCCTCCCCTAGAGTTTGAATTGAGCACTATTTTGCACTTAGGCTAAAATAATATTGCATCAATTTTCTTTGTTTAAAAAAATCCCTGTGACCCATCAATTCTACATTTTTCCCTAAAGCGTGTTATTTTTACACCATGAATATTTTAATTATAGACTCCTTGTTGGAAATCATCTGTAATTATCAAACAAAGCAAAGCCAATTATTACAACCTGGTTGGAAGAGACCTGAGGGTTGGTCTGAACCTTGTTTGCTATGAACCATCTTCTTAGAACCATCCCCGGGAGGTCCTCTGACCCTGCCCTAGTGGCCAGTGCAGGAAGATCTGCTCTGGTGAAGAGCAGGGGTTTTGGATTCAGTCACATATGGATTTGAATCCCAGCTCTGATCCTTAACAGTGAGCTTTTAGGCAATTTACTGAAGCTCTCTGAGACTCAGTATCTTTATCTGTAAGATGAGCCTACTAATAAATACCTTGCAGAGCTGTTACTTTTATCAACATGTCACAGGGAGAGTCTGATTTAATTCACGGCTAAATATGTGTGTCTTTATTCCTTCTCTCCCCTGAAACTTCACTGACAGTAAATGAAATTAAAACACATAGGAAAGTTCTAAACTCACAGGATAAAGGGAATAGAACAGGAGACAATTAAAAACATGATATGTCAAAACAATTTTGTCAAATTTGTAGAAGAAGCCAAATTTTACAGAATGGAGAAAGCTACGACCTGAGAGTGTGCAGGGGAGATACGGACAGAAGTGAGCCAGACTGAATGACGGTTTGAGGCTCAGGGTTTGGAGGTGAGACAGGGGCTGAAATGAGAGAGATGGGTGAAAATCTTTACTGATTGCAGTTAGAACCTCAGTCTCTTTCTTCCATCCCACACATCAAGGCAACTACCCCTTCCCAACCTCAGGTGAGATGGGAAGTTTACAAAGAGAAAGAAACTAGAGACAGGATAAGAAAATTAGATATCAACTTAAGACATACAACATCTATCCAGTAGGATTTCTGAAAGGACAACAGAGAAAGCAGAGAAGATATAATCCAGTGATGATGTTTTAAAATATCAGCATTGACTGATATTAATACACACACACACACACACACACACACACACACACACACACTCTCACAATCTTCCCTAGGCACATCACTGGTGCTCTGTCCCGCATCAGAATGTCTCAGAGGCTGAGGGGACATCCTCTGCAGTGTTGTCTCACCACAAGCTGCTATTCTCCTTCCTAAATAGACAGTGCTTTGTTGCTGAGGAGCCCAAGGCTTAGTAGATTTTTGTCTGATTTAGATAATTGAGATGGGGAGGCTGGCATCAGCAGCATCATTTCCCTAAAATCACATTTATTTCTACTACTGCTTGGGTCTGTTTTTATTAGTTCAATTTTTTTTCCCAGAATATTCTTGGAAAGAGAATATTGACCCACACTGTTATTCAAGCTCAGTTCTGAGAGAGCACAGCAGAAAGAACAATCACAATACATCAGCCAATGAATGTTCCAATGTCAAGATTGGAAAACAAATTTACAAACACAATTTTAAATATCAATTTTGCGCCATTTCGTTGAAAAAAATTCTTTTCTAAACTTTGTCTATCTGCATATTTAAAAGGATGGTATACATCTGAAAAGCAGTAAAGACTGTTTTGAGTAAACTTTTCTTCCTTTCCCCCACCTCCCCTCCCATGAATACACACACATGCTACATACAGAAACACACAATTAAGTGGGTAAGAGTTAGGAACATTACATGTATGGAAAATACATCTTAGGCTGATGGGTAGAGAAAGTAAGTGAAGGGGAGAATTGCAAATTACATAAAGTAATTCTGAAAGGAAGATTTTTAGGAGGAAGCATGTTAGAGGACAATTGTCTAATTGTTAATATTGGATTTCAAATTCCAAGTTAAAATTTATAATTTCTAGATGCAAAAATGAATACATCTACTTCAACAAGTAGGATAATCATCAGGATAAGATAGGCTATACTTCAACTACCAACAAATGTGAAACCGAAGTGGCTGATCACATGAAAGTACATTCCTTTTTCATGCAAGGTCCACTGCAGGTCCAGCAGCTCCCCAAGGCAGCTTGCTATCAAGTGACCCACGCTCTCATAATTAACATCATTATTTTAACCTGAGGCCTATAGCAGGGAAAAGGAAAATGTATGAAGAATCCTAATCATTCTTCTATGCTTCAAACTGGAAGTGATCCGCATCACTTGTACTTTCAGTCCACTGGCCAGAACTAGTTCCAAGGCCACAGTTTAATTACAAGGGAGTCTGTGAAATTAAAGGGAACACATGGGTATTTGGTGACCATTACATATCTCTACCACAGGCTGAAAGCATAGATGGAAAGGCCTGATTCTGCCACTTCCTCACTGTGTCATTTATTTAAGCACTCTGACTCAGATTCTTCAACTGTAAAATAGAGATACAATAATATCTAACTTAGGAGGTTGCCAGAAGGATTATATGAGAATTTGCAGGTAAAACTTTCAGAATAGTGTCTGTCAGAGAGAAAATTTTATGACTGTTAGCTGTTATGTTACCATCATTACTGTATTGCCTACTCACCATACACACCAAGGATTGACTAATCTTTACTGCCTCTGTGACTTGAAGTGTGACTCTAAGAGGAACATATTACATTTGAATGGTATTTTACAGTTTGAATGTCAACAATAAGCCTGTGTGATGCAGGAAAAACATAATTTTCAATTAATTATTTAGGAAACAGTTCAGAGACTGCTCAACTGGGTCAAAGTTTCATCAACTAGTTCCGGTGGAAAACTAGAATCCAGTTCTCATGACTGTTTCAACAACTTTATCCATGAGCCCCAGAATGGCTGATCAATGGGGAAACTAAGGCAGCAAAGGTGGCTTGATTCAAGGTGGCCGAGGGCCACCTTCCAAGATTGTAAGAAATACTCTCCTTTATTTTCCTTTGGTTTTAGTAAAGTTTGATATACTTTCAAAGTGTTTTCCCAGTAAGAGCCATTTTAAAATAAAAAACATAATTGTTTAAATTTACATTTCACCTCTTGGAAAGCAGCAGTCACATTATCTTATAATTATAATAAAAATATATATATATATTTTCAAAGCATTAGAATCCAAAAATTTTAAGTTAAGTATTATAGACTAAAGGAGAAGAGAATCCCCGTCAATTTTAATAAACTTAGAAAATCTTACAAATGAATATTATGTTTGAAATAAATAAAATAGGAATAATTTTAATTTTCACATTTAAAAATTATTTGGGCATGGTCTGAACTTAGTGACTTGCTTCCAAATAACATAGAAAGGGCAAAATAATAACATTGAAGTGGAGAAACCTGAAAGACATCACTTGACCAAGTGATGAATGTTGACAGTACCAGTGGTAGTTATGTGGATCTCATGCAGCCTGGTAGAACGTGACAAGAAGGCCACTGTGATAATCTTCCCCAAACTCATAACACCATCCTACTCATGATAAAAACATCAGATAAGCTCAAATGGAGAGATATTCTACAAAATACTAGATGTA